CCCCTGATCAGTGAGGCTTCCCATTGGCAGCTGTTTTTTTGAGAGCTGTTGGTTAGCCGGGGTATAATCCATTTAGCGTGTTCTATTGCTACTGTACAGTGCTACGTTTTTAACTTACAGTGTTGTACTGTACTGTGTCTCCGTACGTTACATCTCTACCGTTCCCTCTATCAGCCAAACTCCTAATTGCATCAAAGAATGAAATCAGTTTGTTTGATAAGACCTGTTTTCCATTAAACCACATTGACTATTTTCCATAACACACATCTTCGCCTGGTGCCAGCGCCATGGATCAGAGCCCACCTCTGACTTCTCTCCCCCTTCACTCCCTCACTCCTGCAGTTGTCCTTCGGCTGCCTGGCTCTCTGACTATTGCCAGCGGCTACCCGCAGGAGTACAGAGCTATGCAGCTGCACCTGCACTGGGGCTCCCCGGAAGGGCCTGGCTCAGAACACACCGTGGACGGACGCCGCTATGATGGGGAGGTAAAGATCCGTTGTGGGCCTTCCCCTCTTGCCTGCTGTTCCCCGGGTGTGCCTCAGTGCTTGGCGGTGATCACTTCAGTCCCACCCGCTCCAGCTGTCTGCACGGGGTGAAGGGCTAGTGCCCTGAGGCGGATGTGGCACCCCCAGGTCACTGGCTGCCCTTTGTCCACACTGCAGCTCCATTGGCGGGGAGGTTGCCACCCCTTTGCCCTTGGCGGAGTGCTCCGACCAGTCTCTGCCCTTGGCTCAGTTCAAGTGCCCAGTGCCCAGGAACCCAGAGGGAGGAATCATGCGCCTAGGGCTGAGCAACTGAAATAAAAGCAGAGTTTATGACACAGCCTGAAACATGGAAGCAGAGGGGAAGTGAGGCAAAACTCCCCCATGGAAGGGACATTGTGCCAGCAGGGTGGGGGTGGGGAGGGAATGGCCTGGAGCCAGGCACCCAGTGCACAATGCGGGGACGGACCCACGCGGGGAGCACACACTCTGCATACAGGATAAACAATCCATACTGCTCTGCAGCCAGACTGCCCTGGCGCTAACCAGGTGCTAGGGGCACAGGGAGCCCACCCCCACCTAAGTCCAGGGCCCATCACAGCCCCCTTTAAAATTGCCCTCGGATGTGCCCAGGGGGGCACAAGCTACCCCAGGGGACCTAGAACCTAAGGAGGGGGCAACGCAGAGCTCCCCAGTGCAGGCCGCCCTGTGCTGGAGGATGATTCAGCTTTTCCCCAGCACTCTGGCCCGCGCCCTGGCATGTGAGGGCCTGAGAGGGGGGCAGCTCGCTGTGCCCTCGTCCTTGGCACCAGCCCAGAGCTGTGTGGTCAGAGAGCTCCTGGGACTGTTGTCTCATACACAGAGGTGTTTGCTGCCTGGGTCTGGTTCCTAACTGGTTCCTACCCCCCCCCTCCCCCTGTTGCTGTTCACACGGAGCCGCCAGGGCCCAGTGCATCAGGGAGGACAGGAGTTGGAGGGGCTGCCAGCATGCTGCTGCCCCAGCTAGAGGGGCACCAGGGAGACGACCTTCAGCCCTGACCCATGTGCAGAAAACAGGGGAGGCTGGTGGCAGGGCTCTTGGGCAGCAGGGGCTGGCAGCAGCAGCACTCTCGGGTCACTGTAAAATGGTTTGGGGAGCTTGCCTGGTGCCGAGTGGGGGGCTCTGGCCGCGTGACCAAGCCCCAGGTACTGCTAATGGCGAGGCCCTAGTGCTGGGGTTGGCCAGACCTGGTGGGGTCATACTGGGACCGGTGCAGGACTGGGGGGGTCCAGCACTCACCCATGGCACAATGGAGCCTCAGGGGGTTCTGTGCTTTGATTCCAGATCCATGTGGTTTATTACAACCCCAGCTCTGGCAGCATCAAAGAGGCAATGAGGCAACCCGGTGGCCTGGCAGTGCTGGCAGCTTTCCTGCAGGTGATGGCAATGGGGGCAGTCCCTGGGAAGGTGGGTGGGGGCAGTGCCAGGCAGGGATGCTCTGATCACTGGGCTGGGCGTGGCAGGGTAGGCGAGGACTGAGAGGGCATAGGCAGTTCTGGGGTGGAGGAGGGCAGGGGCTGTCTGGGAGGGAGGAATGCTCTGACAACTGGGCCATGCCAGCGCGGAGACGGGACATGCCCCGATTGCTGGGCCATGCTTGTGGTGGGAGGCAGAAAGTGCTCTGTGCACTGGTCCAGGTGAGGTTAGGGGATGCCCTAATCGCTGGTCAGTGGTAGGGTTCATGCTTTGATCCTGGTCGGGGGTGCAAGGGCCATGCTGCGGGATGCCCTGACCCCAGCCAGGTCAGTCAGGGAGGTCACAGGTCGCTCTGCTGCCTGTGAGAGTGAAATTAGTCCCATGTTCAGAGCTACCCTCCCTGCTGTGACCCAGCTACCAGGGCTTAATAGGCAGGGGACTGGCCCTTCCTGGCGCCTGTGCTCTCACACCTGCTGAGTCTGTGTTACAGGTTGGGCCGGAGGACAACGTGCACTATCAGCCTCTGCTTGAGCAGCTGCATAAGGTCCAAGAGGAAGGTAAAGCCCTTGCCTGCCTAATGCCCACCATGGGGACAGCCCGGGGCAGCGGTGAGCTGCCTGCTGCATGGAGAGGCCTGTGCATGCCAGAGACAGACAGAGGCAGGCAGCTCCTGTGAGACAGACAGGCAATGAGTGGCCTGTCTCATCCCTCGGGATTCCCCGGGCTCCCACTCTGCACCTGTCCCAATGACATGGCTTCTCTAGCGCCATAGGCTCGTCCATCCAGGGCTTGTACAGACTGGCTGTGCCTGGCCAGGGCATTGTGCGTCTGCAGTGAAACCAGGGCTCAGTTCCCAGGCGGCTGCGCAGTGACAGCTCACCGTCTCTGGATGTTGGCTCCTGGGCATGTGCTGACCAGGATCATGCTGTTGGTGTCACGAGGCCGAAAGGAACCAAAGTTGCTCCATGTTTCACTTTAATCGACCTCAAAAGCCAGGGGCAGAAATTAGAATGTGTAACAACCAGTTATCAGTTACAACCCCCCCTTCATACTGGTACCAAGCGGTAATAATGAGACCTGTATGTTTCTGGCTGAAGGGGAGATAATAAATCAAAGGGAAACAGGACCAGGTAACGGTTTAGAGGAGTGTTACTAACAAGCTAGACTTATAGCCGCCAGAATGATTTAACTGCTTAAATGTATAAACATGGCTTTTGTAGAAGAAGGGAGAAGGAATGGGAGAAGGGGGGGAGAGAAGGGAGAGGGGAAGAGGGAGGAATTTGGCTGTGAAATGTAATTGCTTGTTACTTGCTTAAAGTAAACTATTATAGGAGAAAGGGAGGGTGAAGGAGGGGGGTAAAGGGTGAAGCCTAGCTGCAAAAGAATAAAAAGGGAAAACTGTTTGTCTCAGTGTGCTTGATCTGAGACTTGTCTGTCTCCTTGCACCACTTTGAGATCTCAAATAAACTTTGTTTGCTTCTCCATCCTGGTGTGTTCATTGGCGTGAAGCACACCAGGCAACGAACCCGCTGTTGCTGTCCTCGGGCCCTTTTGCCGACAACAATGCTGTCCAGATTCAGATCCCCAGGGGCCTGTGCAGCTCTCGATTGTTGCTGTGCTCTAGTCCATGGAGCTGTGCTGCTCTAGATTGTGCTGTCTCTCTGTTCTAGAGCATGGAGACACACTGCTCTAGAGCACAGGCAGTATTTTTTTCCTTCCAGGCACGGAAAGGACTGTGGCTGGATTCAATATTGAAGGGTTGCTGCCCACCAACCTAAGCCGCTATTACCGCTACAGCGGCTCTCTGACCACCCCTCCCTGCTACCAGACGGTGAACTGGACTGTCTTCAACCAGACGGTGCTGCTGTCCAAGGAGCAGGTCCGTCCGGGGGGTGAGGGCCTCCTTTTCTCCTCTTGGGGGTGGGTGGGGCTGTCTGCAGGTGGCTCTGCCATGCCTGTCACGCTAGGAGCTGCGTGCCAGCACCAGCAATGGGCGGGGGCGGCCCGTGGGCCACTGGAGACTTCCTGAAGCCAGCCCCCCTCGCACCAGGGCACCGAGGATGGCTGAGTTCAAGAGGCTCCCAGGGGCGGCTTAGTGACGCCGTTCAACCCTCCCTCTCCAGATCTCGCTGCTGGAGACCACGCTGCAGGGAGACGATGACAAAGATCTGCAGAACAACTTCCGGCTAACCCAGAGCCTGCACGGACGGAAAGTCCTAGCGAATTTCCAGGCATCCCTCAGCCCGAGACGGGTCCCGCTACCTGGTAAGGAGCTGTGGGATGGGGCTGGGCGGTTCTCTGCTGCGTGCCACCCTGACACAGACAAGCCTGGCAGAGCAGAGCAGGACCCGGACGCTGGTGTCCCAGGAAGGAATAGCTCATGTAAGCCAGTGCCAGCGAGCGGTGGGGCCAAACAACGCAATGGGTCTCACTGCTAACCTGACCTGAGGGGGCTCTGTGGGGAGGCAGCTTGGTCTCCAGGACCTGCTCTGTCCTGGCCTCACAGCTGACATGCCAGCAGGGCACAAAAGGAATGTGTCTGAACAAGTAGTCACAGCAAGTTGTTGGCAGTTTTTGCCAGCTCCCTTCGGGACCCAGGCGTTCAGGTGCTTCTCTGCATGTCTCCAGCCCTGCTAGCCAAAGCCAGGCTGGAGCTGCAGGAGAGCAGGACTCTTTGAAACCCCAGAACACACCCTCCAGGGGTATTTTGTGGCTCCCACTTCTGGGCCTGGCTAGGCCCAGCAGTGAATGGGGGCATACCCTCTTCCCCACCTGGGAAAGGGCTCGGTCAGTTCAGCTTCTTTGAACCCTTCCCTGGAACACTCCTGCCCCAGCTCAGGGACTTGTTGATCTTCCTGACCCATCAGTGGTCTAGGAAAGCCGCAGTCTCGCTGCCCCACTCCTGGATCATTCAACAACTGAGGCTGGGCCAAGCAGGTGGGCCAAGCCCCGGCGTGTCTCTGTGTCTCACCCCCAGACAAAGCCACCCTGTGCATGATACAGCAGGTGTGTACCAGGCGATAACAGAACCATTAACGGCCTGTGATACCGCATTGGGTAAATATTTGCCTGGCGGAGCCCCATAGTGTGTCACAAAGTCCTAGTTTTGGGCCCAGTTTCAGTTACTGCCTGTAGAGCAGACGATTGACCCACCACCAACCACATGTGCTGGTGGATGTGCCGGAGCCCTGGTACAGGGAGGGTGGCGGAGGCCTTGGAAATCGCAGTCACTGAGATCGCCCTTACAGCACACGTCGTGCAGGTGAGGGTGGGTTTCAAGGAGAGACAGTGCAGGCGCCCTAGAAAGAGGGGTCACACTCTGTGGGCTCAGCAAGGCCCAGGGATGTCAGTCCTGCTGCTGCCCAGCGTGAAGGCAGAACCAGACTCACTGGAGAAGAACGTCCCTGGCTCTGCCCCACAGGCGCCTTGATGGGGCCTGTTGGGAGCAATAAGGGCACATCTGTATGTGCACAGATGTCACACGGCTCCCTGAAGCAGTGAGGAGGGGAAGGTCTGGGTGCCCGACCTCCACAGGGGATATGATGATCCCCTGTGTCACGTGGGGCAGCACGAAACCACCAGTGGGCTCTGGTCAGTCCTGCTGCCCCAAACCAGGCCGAGCTGAGCCATTAGCTGGGGCTGCTCTCCCATTGCCTCCCACTCAGCAGCCCGGGTGCCCCAGGGAGACAGCAGGAGGGGGCAGGGTGACACGCTAACAGGCTGCTCTCCCTCTGACGTCCCAAACATTACCGGTTAAAACAGGCTCTGGAGGGAATGGAGGCTGGGACTCTCAGCCTCACAGGGAGAGGGGCAGAGGAGGGGCTGGCACTATGATGGGCCACAGTGCCTCCTTGACTGCAGTGACCATGGTCTGGAGAGAGCCGCTGGCTTTGGGCAGACGTGGGAACGGGAATGGGCTGCAGGCGCTGTGGATCCAGACTCCCTGTGCCTCCGAGAACATGGCCAGGCTGGGGCTGAGCTGCCTCCGGCCGCACGTGAGACCAGGCAACTCTGTGGTGGCACTGAGCGTGTCGACCGTACCAGGAGGCCCCGGCGCTGCACATTGTAAGGGTGGCGCTGGCAGGAGCTGCCCCAGCTATGGCTCCTGGGGTCTGCCCACCCCTTTCCCAGCCAGGCTTTGAGCACCCGGGGCACAGTGCAAGTGATTCGTCTTCTACACCCTGGTCAGAGCTTGGCTGCTGCCTTGGGGAATGGCAGACGATGGTGAGTGGCATCCCTGCAGCTCTGTCCCCGCTAGGTGGTTGCTGGGGGGACTGTCTCTCACGGCCGCACCAGCTCCCTCTGCAAGTGCCCTGCTTGAGGGGGCACGAAGGGCCCCTTGTGATGGTGTCTTGGGGGTGGTGATGGTTAGCACAGGGCCATGTGGGTGCCATTGGGCCCCTGCCGCCCGCCTGGCTGGGCTTGCTCTGCTCACTTTGCTGTAGGTGCTGAAGCCATTGGTAACATGGCTGAGGGCTCATTTCCTGTGTGCTTCTTCAATTTCTGCTGGCTGGTGTCACGGAGTCCCCGGGCGATGCTCTGGAACTGCTCCCCACAGAGCCAGTCAGGACTCTGGGGAGCCTCCTCTCCCATGGAGCAGACTGTCCTCAGGGCAAGAAGCTCACACGGCTTCAGCTCCTGGGTCTGACCTTGGAGCATTCAGCATCCTCTGCCCCTCCGTGTGCTTCCCACAGCGAGTCTGCCCAGGCGGGGTCCTGGGGAAGCCAGAGGGTTCTGCACCCCCCCACTTCGCAGTCAGACGTGACTCTCAGCCAGCCAGTAAAACAGAGGTTTATTAGATGACAGGAACAGGGTCTAAAACAGAGCTTGTCGGTCCAGCG